CGGAAAAGTAGCATAGTGCGTGCTGAACCTTTGCAAAGGAAAACTGACGAGTTTATGGAAGGGAAAGTACTTGGCGCGACCCAGTATCCTGTGTAGCACGCGATTGGTTGTGAGAAAAATACCGACGATCCGCTGCAAAGGGCCGTCGAAACGATAGGGCCGGCTCAAGCCATGCACCAGTGCTGAGTATAGCGCATTGCATCTTACAAGCATCTACTCAAAGACTGGCCAATGTAACCCGACAAATTGAACCTAAACCCCTATCTGTAAGTTCTACAACTTCAGGCTCCGGCTTTGATATTATTGGGGCCTAGACAACTAGAATACGGTTGAATAGGGGGATTCGATGACGTGTGAGGCGAAGAAGGGTAGGTCAGAGGCCGGCCTTGTTGTAGTACAGTATCTCCTTCTTGGAGTTCGCCACCTGAGACGGCCAACTTGAGTAGTACAGGGGCCTGGTGGTTTCAATAGGCTTTTGAAAGCATGTAACAAGGTATCCACAGGAAGTGTTTCGGTAATTGCTTAGGCCCAGTTTCTACAGTTATTCTGGCTGACGGTTGCTATACGGGGACACTTACGAAAAGGCATGCAAAACGAGGTTTCGTGTGGAGAATAAGGCTGACGAGCTCTCGTATACCTGGAGATTCTCCGATCCTGAAATGGCTAATTACATGACTGTTAGCCTCCAAGCCATCATCCCATGTCTATGGAAACTTGGCCCTCTTTAACCCATCCTTTGCCCCTGAGCCGCCACCAGTTTGAGCGTTCGGATCTCTTCCTGGGACGTGACCGCAGCTTTGCCCGCAGCCTTCAGTGGAGTTGCCGGTCTTTGGGGCTTGAAGCTCATGGTTTCGATTCTTGGGGTTGGTAACAGGGTGAGTCGGGGGTTCAGGGCTATGGTAGGGTCTGTCATGTAGTTTGGGCGTAGCTGCTTGGGGACTTCGTGCTTGGCGGAAAATCCATACAACTCAGGGCTCATAGCTCGAGCTTCAAAAACAAAAAATATCCACAGAAGGTATCACGATCGAGGGCCCCAAGTGCTGAGCTCTTCGGACTAAGGGGCCTCGAAAATCCGAGAGGGAAACCGGGAAACCCGAGGTTCCGTTTTGCCAGGCTTTACGAGAAATCACGGCTTCGGAGAGAACCGCAACTCAAAATGTAAAAGAAGCTGGCCGCCGTAACAGCCAGCTGATGAAGAAGAGGTGCCACGCTTCATGATCCGTCTCGACAATGATACCGGAGGGCTGTCAGATGCAACACGAAGGTGCACCAAAGCAATTCTTACCGACATATACAGACAGACAGACAACGCATCCACAATCCATGGTTTCTGGAAACGTACTCCTTTTTGAGGTCCCTTCGACATTGTGCTGGTTGTTGCGGCGCGACGCGTGTTGTCTCGACTGCACGTCCCATATTCGAACGAAGATGGGGTGGTGCCCCAACAGATGGACCCGAAGTCTTTCATGGGTGCTTCGGTTTTGTTCTGCAACATGACATCTACAACTTGAAACATCCCCAAGCCCTCTTCCGTCCAATTCTGAAACCTATGCACCCTAACCGTAAGAACCTGCACTCTTAAAACGACCTTTAACCCTACCAAATTAGACGTTAAACCCTCTGCTATCTTCCCTAAACCCCCCAAACCGTAAACCCCTAAACTCTAAACCCTAAATCCCCTAAACCCTAAACCCCTTAACCCCAAAGGAGGGACCCAGGGCTGAAACCCTAATTTTGCGCTAAAGCCTTAAGGCGGCTTCACGAAATTTCCGAAAGGAACACTTCCAGGTTGGTGCAAGGCACTTCTGGCGTTGGGCTCACACTCCTCGTGTCATGGCGGCAGGGTTCTGAGAAAGATACTGGAAATAATCATCCCAGCAATAATACTAACTAACGATACAAATAAAAAATCCTAACAACAATGACATTAATTCAAAACAGTGGTACCACTGCTACTGACGGTAATCGCAGTGCTAAACATAATATGATGGTTAGTAATGAAAACGACTTAAAGGGTTCGGGGGTTTCGAGTTTAAGGGTGTAGGAAGGCTGGGTTCCGGGCTTTATTTTGCTTCCTACCTGGCTAGGTTCAGTGTTTTTTTGTTTTTTTATTTGGGGGGGAGGGGGGGGGCTCTTGGGCTTTTCTGGACTCGCAGAGGTCTTCAGCGTTTTGGGGCCTTGGGTGTCAGGGTTCCGGGGTCTGGGGCTTGGAGTTTGGAGCTTCGGGACGGTTTCCGCTCTCGCAACTCGGACTCCGCCCGACGAGGTCTCTCAGGCCTCCCTGTCCATCAGCACATTGACAATCGTAGCTAGGAGCTGGCGTTGAGGGATCGAAGTTTGAGGTTTAGAGCTAGGGGTTTATAAAGGGTTTGGGGTTTACATCTTCGAGCGGTAACAGTTTTTGTTTTGGCACTTCGCGGGATATCTTGGTGGCTTGATCTCAACAGTCCGGCTGGTTGCTGGAACTTTGGATTCCAGATTATAGGTTGAGATGCATGCATTTCGAGTTTGAGATGCACACGTGAGACCAGCATCTCTTGGCAACTACCGTCAAGATACGGAAAGAATCCCAAGTCATACCCCGCAGTTCGCATCCCCAGTCTCAGTTCAGAAGACACGGGGCGGGGACGTCTGCGTCGCAGCGCAGCTCACCTCTTGCTCTCTGATGATGCTGCAGTTCCTGAGCGGCTCGCACTGCCAGCAAAGATAGACTTCGGGCAGTTGATTGTTGTGGTTTCCGTGCTGTGCTGACAGGAAAAGTGCCAACACTCAGGGAAGATCCTGCCGATAGGCCTCCATCCCTGCACAGACGCACCAGGCACTTGATTGAGATCAGACATGGCCCTAGAAGCCCTGAAACCCTGACCCCTCACTTGACAAGGCTCGGCCACTCTGGGAATTCCTCGGCTTCCTCGCGTGCTGCCGGTGCATTGCATATAGTTCTTTCTGCAACATACTGTATATTTATTGTACACATGTCTACAAACAAACCGTAAAATAAACAACTCGATTCATTCATACACACATACGTCCATCCGTCCATCCATGCATCCATGCATGCATGCATGCATGCATACATACGCACATATAAATACATATACACATACATGTACACAGTCGCACATGAACAAATGCGTACTTGCATAATCGGATGCAAAAAGGAGACAGTCTGTAGACAGACACATACATGGACACGCACGTGCGACTCCGTTCTACGAGTGCTGCTTCAGTACCAAAGCAGACAGCCAAGACAGAACATGTCTGCGTGGTCGTCGGCATCACATTGCGATCCTCACTGTCAGAACCGACGTCACCGGTGGTACTAATCATCAGTACCGCCGCCATCGCCACCACCACTGTCACCACGATAGCACCGTTACCACTGCCACCGGCAACAGCACCAGCGCCATCGCTGTCTGCATCATAGGCTTTGGGTGATGATTGGGTTCCCCAACATTGAGCATTGCAACAGGCGAGCTTCCTTCCGGGCCAACCATAAGACAACAATATGCCTTGCCCAACCCTGACCCCTCCTCCGTGAAGTACCCACGGCAGATGACGGCAGTTTTGGCTGTCGAGCCCCAAAAAGGATGAGGTACCACCCCAAACTGGAAGTACTACCGGCTCTCCAGCCCTTCGAAGCTCAACATCACCCACCTTTCACACCAGAACCCGAAAGAAAACCAGACAACTTATGTGCGCATACATATTATATATATATATACATACATACATACATGTGTGATGAACCGAAAGACCGGGAAATCAGTGCTCAAGCAACACACTCCCGCTCACTCCAAACACTCAACTCCACCTCGCGTTCGTAAGGCCCCGGGGTCGGTGTGCCGCCGGTGTCGGGTGGCGGAGACTGGGCCGGAGTGTAGGCCTGGCAAGCTAAAAAAAACCTTTAGCCTTAAGATTAGAAAGTTGGGATTCGGAGAATTGTGATAGGACAAACCTGAAATGGGGACTTCCAGGGTAATGATATGGCGACTGTCAGACATTCCTGATGCTGCTGAAAGCACCAACCCTTGTTTACATCTGACGCTCACTGTGCAACAACGCTTGTGTACTGTAGCACACCTGAATAGGCCGTCACATGCGAACCAGGCTGGAAGAGAGTATGCGCGATTATGTCAAGAACGATTCCTGGACTGCCGCAAGCCTGAACAAAGGAATATCAGACTGAATATCGTGCAATCCTGGGAGGGGGGGGGGTGACGGCACTGGTTGCAAAGTACGTTATGAGCAAAATTCATGAGGTTTTGCGGAAGGGACACACAACACAGTGCAACGATCACCTCGATCTGTGATCGGAGACTCTGCAAAAGGAACATGAACAGCCACGGGTGGAGGCTCTACGTATATGTTTAGACGTACATGGACATGACACAGAATAGTCTCACTAACCCTTGCGGCTGCCCACGTTCCGACGAACATTAATGCAAATGAATGTGCCCTTTCTGATTTTCAGCAGGGTTTGAGTGTTAATTACATCATGGGAATCTATGGGCATTGTACTACTGAATATCTGCCACTCCTTGGAAATCTATATTATACTAAGCAGACGATAGAAAAGAACCATTCGCCAAAAAACAGTTTATGTCCTTGCATAGCACGTTTATTGAACCCAATATAGATTTTCATAGATCCCCTATTATACCCTAAGCCCTAGCCCCTGAACCCTAGGCCCTAATCCTGAAATAAATTACAAACCCTAAACCCTAATCCCTAAACCAAGATCCCTTTGGAAACCTTGGGTTTCCGGGGACCCGTGGCCTCCGTCTCGTCTCTGTGGGCCCGCAGGGCATCGTCGTCAAGATCCTGCACAGCCCGTTCGTAGCCATGAATGTTGAGAGTTTAGGGTTTAGGGGTTGTAGGGTTTAGGGGTTAGGGTTTGGGGAGTTTGGTTTAGGGAGTTTAGGGTTTAAGGAGTTTAAGGTTCCATAAAGCGGCAAGCACTCAAATCGATTCTGGGTGCAACGTACATCTCCACCGGCCTGATCCTGCTCTTCTAGGCACTGTTGGAGGAGTTCGTCTGCATCTTGCCTGATCAAGGTTCAGCAACTAAACAAGACGATGCGAAGCTCCACTCCGACCAGCCCCTTGTGTGAATGTCTGTGGAGAGTCTCTGCTAGTCGGCAAGGCAAGGCATCTGGTGTACTGCAGCAAAGCTTCCCCTTGGCCACCGCGGTACCTGCAGCAAGAGGCAAAGCTAGACAGCACCTTCGAGACCGAAGTCACCATGGAGATTGCCACCGGACTGTGAGAATCTTAAACCAAAGATGGTCAAGCTAATTATGCAAAGAATGTCATAATACACTTACGCACAGTGCACATCCTCGGACCTGAAGCCTGACTAGAACCCTTGTGAGCCCGAAGTATAAGCCCGCAAACCCCAAAAGCCCGAAAATAAGCCTCAGTAGAACCTTCCTGAGCCTGAGCCCGAAATAAACAGTCCAAACCCTCGAGGCCAAAATCTGCGGCTCCTGCCGACGTGCCCGCGGTCTTCGCGGGCGAGCCGGCAATGCGTGGCCTGGGAGAGAGAGGGATAGAGTCTGTAGAGAGGGGTTCAGCTTGTTTTTTGCGTGGTTTTCCCTCAAACCAAGGTGCCTAGGAATTCGGGTTTCAGGGTAAGAATTAGGATCTTGTTTATACAGAACTTCCGGAAAAGCCTGTACTCTGTCGAAGTTCATCTGCCTGCTGCTGATCTGTTCCCTTCCATGGAAGAATTCTGTGTCTCAGTACTGTATGGTCCGTCTGCTGCGCATTCCGCGCCTGTACGTCTCCTTAGCGGCCCCTGCTTACTGCCTTGCTGAGATGATATGATCTAATCAAAACTATGCTCCTTGGCCTTGCGGACATCCGCGAGGAAATGTGTAAGGAGCGAAGCCGTTTCAGCTTGGGCATAGGAATGTCGTTAAGCGAAAAAGCAAGAGAGAAGGGACGCTTACGCTTACTTCCCCAATAAGCCAGGAAAATAGAAGTTTAGACTTTCAGATTAGCACTAAATTGTAAGAACCCAATAAACTAAAGGTTGAGTAGTGGAGAACTAAGTACGTTGATGGGCGGGTAAAGCTAAGCATGGGTGCCAGTACTGCTTGTGCCAGTGCATGCATACAAGAATATGTGGCGCATGGTGGCAGTGTTGAGGGAGAGAGCGAGCGAGAGAGAAACAAACAAAGACCAACAGACACCATGTCAAAAAAAAACAACAAACCAAGAGAGCCTTGTTGCAGGACTATGGCCTTGCAGGGTTTGGATTGTAGACGGTGGGATGCTGAGAGGGTGAAGGGCTCAGACTTCGGGTCATATGTGTTCTGACTGAGGGGCAGCATCACAATTCCTTCATCTTTTTGTGAATACTTTTGTATAGGCTCCGCATGACTCACGTCAGGCCCCAACAAGCCCATCGCCTCTGGACAGTTGCAACCTATATACCGTCTGAGTGAGGACTTTCAGCGCCATGCTTATCCAACTGTCCAACTCGACAGTTTGCTAATGCCAAGTTGCCGAGCTTGCGCTGCTCGTGGCTTGGCATGTACCGCAGGACCGGGCGCGGGAGGTTTCGATTTCTGTGATGGATCGGTCTCCGCCTCCACCGTCTGAAGCGTCCCCGGGCCCGGCTCCTCAGAACAAAGTCGCTGCTTCACATTGACGTTGGAGGACGAAACACTTGTCTGCAGATTTGCGCTTCCCCTAGGCCCTAGGCCACGAATTAGGATAGGCCCTTTGCCGGCTGTACTGCATGACAGGAGCCGTTGCAGGGCTGCTGCGCACAGCGGCGTCGGCAGCTTCGGAAATGCCTTAGCATATGTGGCATATTGAAGGGCAGGATTATTGTATAGCCGATGTATAGAGTTATTGTCATACGCTCGAGTAATGTGTATATATCGTACACTATACGCATAACGAAAACGCAGGGTGTAACATGTCGACAATCCTAGCAGCTCAGAGTAGAGCACCGCAGCGAGCCTCTCATGTGACGCTGGCCAGTTTGCCAGCATCGAGTTTGAAGTAAAAGGCTCACAGGTGTGGAATGCACAACACCCTTTCTGCTCCGTGGTACGAAGATGATCAAATCGCACACAGAAGGACTAGCAACAGAAAACATCAAGCATCCGGGTGTCGTGCTATGTTCAAGTTGCGCTAGACCCTGTTTTTTTGAGGAGGGGCTGCAGTGCACATGCCTTCATGCCCTAAACTGTGAACGCCAACCCTTTTGCCCCCATGCCCAACGTTCTGCACTGCACATCGGGACGGCGGAAGCCTACTCTAAACTCTACATCTACTCTCCACCCACCATCACTAGAAGCCCAAACTCCGACGCACAATGTCACAATACCCTATAGCCCTATACACCCTAAGCCTTCACTGCAACTCCGAAATCAACGACTGGGCACTTGGGAGATCTGCTCCTGTCGACGGCGAACTCGTCGGCCTCAAGGGCAACCCCGAACTTTGGGTGATAACCGGGGTCTTATATGGGACTTGCATATAGACGGTTTTAGGAGTTGTGTACAAGACCCAGGGGTTTAGTGGATCTTTATGGTGCCTTGTAATGACAATGACTTTGTTTTTTGAGGCTCTCTCCTCGCTCTGGTTTTGCACACGGATCGGGGACAAAGATCCCGAGTGGGCGACCGTGCACGCTGTGCCAGCCAACACAGAAGCACGTATTGTCGTGCGGGAGTGCCCACGCATGTTTGGCTGGTAGGGCCAACATGCAATGACGGTGCAAGTTTTGTTTTGTTTCGGTAGTTTGGCGGCCAATCAACCGATAATCAACCAAACAGGCACGGCTTGATCCAACCTCGCAACAACGTGTTGCTGAACACATGATCACTGTACTCGTTCACTCAACTTTTGCTGTTTATGACAACCGATCCACCCAGCCGGTACAGTGGACCTGCCTGTAGCTTGCCTCCTCCGGTTGTGTTGTGTCACAACAGACCCACCCGTGAGGCAGACTTGCTCTTTCAAGTTGTCTAACAGCTCCGGCGACTGCTACTCACATCTGTCTGATTACTACGGTACTGGCTACGAGAGGCCTTGGCCCCATCAATGTCCAAATCCTGAAACAAGCATTTACATGCAGGCCCACATCCCATTTCTCCAAACAAGTCATGTCTGTTCTCGCTAAGTCACCGAGCTCGGGCTGACCGTGGCTTGGTATGCTCCGCAGGACCGGATGAGGATGCTTCCGACATCTGGGAGGGATCGGTCTGTGCCTCCATCATCGGAACCGTCTCCGGGCTTCCGGTGTGCGGTGGTGGGGAGGTTCCCGCAGGTCCGAGGCTGCCTGTGTGTGGTGGGCCAGGTCTGGTGGCTTCTGCAGTGGAGCTGTGGCCAGGCATCGGCTGCCTGCTCGGTTCCTTGGGTGGCTCAGGCTTCTGCATGTTGCCCCAGAGTGCTCCCAACCGAATCCCTTACAACAACAAGCCCTTCTCGACTTCAATGCATGACAGAAGCCGCAGCTGGGCTGGTGCGTACAGCGTTGCCAGCATTTTCCAAGGTTCCTGGAACGGGAAAGGACGCAGGTAACAAAAATATCCGCTTGTTAGATACCCACTGATACGAGCAAAAAATCAATCAGTCACGATTGCACCATACTTTCCAAGTCTTGAGAAAAAGACTTGTCCGCTTGAGGACATTCGTCAAACACTTGCTACCGCCTGTGTAGTTGTATCTCTACGCCTGCACACATACACACATTCAGAACTCTTGCTACGTATAGCGTGAAAAAATCGATATGCCTATCTAGTGATACATACATAAACACTACATTAACTCAATGAGACTGATCAGCATCCAATGAAGGACTGGAGACTCGGAAGATCCGCGCCAGTCGAGGGAGATCCACTTGGCCTCAGACAAATCTCCCAAAACGATGCCCTAACCCCTTTTTTGGGGGTGTAGTAGGGTTTAGGGCTATAGTTCATGATCTTACCCCTAACCCTGAACCAAACGGCGCTTTGTTGGAACAGGTTTCGGACTTGTGAATTTCGACTCTCAATCTCGCACAGGGCAGGCAAGGCTCCGCATAGTTCCGTCACGCAAGACAACTCCCCGGGTTTGGGGGAGAGAGGGGGGGCAGGCTCTTGGGCTTCTAGGGACGCTACTGACAAGAGCACAACAAGAGTTATTGTATGGCATGGTTAAGGTTGAGGTTTAGGGTGATGTGTTTTAGCAGCTTTGATTACGTGAAACCTGCTGCTCCTTGGTAGATTCAAGTCTTCGGTACTTGCACAGCACAGTGAGCAGACAGTGTGGAACGTGCCAGAAGCTCAGTGGAAACTATGTTGTAGGCAGGAGGACAGCTACACTGCACAGCGCACTTTTTGTTGAGCCAAATACGACAGTCGATGGTATAAGCTGGCTGCATCTTACACAAAATACAGAAAGCAAGGCCTTCCGTGATGAGGCTGCAGATTCAAAGGGAAACTGGCAGTTCATGGTGGAGGTGCAGGTTGTGGGTATATGGCTTGATGAAGAGAAAACAGCTGCTCAAAGTAGGCCATTACTTAAACACCAGGAGCCAAACTCGAGCGACTCAGTTGTTGTAAAGTTAAGAGTTAAGAGCAGGAGATGAGAATTGGCCAAGCCATAGTGCCAAGTGCGAGCCCATTACTGCATTCTATGACGTTTTGTTTGATGCAAGAACAACTTCGGAATAAAACCCGCCGAATGACATGTTGGGCCAAGGCAGAAGTGACCTGTTTAAGAACATGACACGCACATAGTGACAACCGCGAAATCTCCCGACTGTTGCAGGGATCCGGCAGGATGGGCAGCACATGCATGCGGCATCCCACAGCTAAATCGACCATCAGCCGAACAAAAGACATTCTGAGCCGGGATATTATGAGCCCGTCGATATTCGAAAGTCTTGCTGGTTAGAGCCTGTGGCTCATCAAGGTTGCAAAGCTTTCTTCCCAGCCCTACGTCCCTACGTAAACTGATTTTGTGGGCTTTATAGATCCTCAATATAGCAACCAACCGCTATAGTTTAACCCTAAACCATTAATGAGTTTAAGTTTTCGAATCAGGCCAAGTTGCGTCGCAGGCGACTGCCAGCCTCGGATCCCAACTTCTTAGGTCCACGTGGCACAGGATAGGATTAGAATAGGGTTTTGGCATGACGGTTTGCAGCGAAACATAATTCTCATACATACGAACCCTGACTGAGGAATACTATTGGTAACTTTTCAGGCTTCTGTATTTGTGGCAGAATGTATCAAGTGTATGGGCGGATGCTATGTGGTCAGTCGTGAAACCCAAAAGAGCCCTCCACGAATGTGGAGTGTGGATGTGGACAGGCCAAAGAAGCACCCCTGCAGCCGTTTGGCCTTTTTTGGCCTGCTTCCTTCGTTCCCTCTGCTTCTCCAGCTCCTCTTGCTCCTGCAAAGCTCATTGAGGCAGCTTTTGCGGGATGGCGTTGCTGCAATCTTCGAGCATGAAACCCACATGAGATCCGGAAACATGCTGGACACTGCGTGCTGCAAGCCTCAAAGACCTCGACAAGCATTTTTTGCATCGAAATCCCCTTGCCCTTGTCTAATGTGCAGGAAGGGTGCCCACCACTTACGGGCGAGGCACTAGGAAGAGCGTCTAATCCTCACGAGCCATGAGCTTTACCAAGGTGGGCTCCAGGCAGACGATGCCGAGAATGCAGCCAAGGAGAAGCACTGCATCGTTGCCTGCTTTCACATGGATATGCATGTGCGGGTCGCTCCGGCGGATGCTTGCAATCTTCTTCTTGGGATCCTGGAGAGGGACGATGGAGAAGTTCAGGGGCCCTTCTTCGGTCTTGAACTCTGCGCATGGCTTCTGCATGTGGTAGAAGACCACCCCACCCTGGACTCCTCGTGCAACCTTGCCAAAATAGCTTCCGTTCTCGGAATAGACGGTCATAAGGACATCTGTCGCCGTCGAGGCACCTCGAAGAAGCACACCTGGCCCGTCTGCGTGAACAGACTTGATCTTCATCATGCGACCCTCGGACAAGGTCACCGTGAGCAAGGTGATGTTCTTCTCACTTTGGATGGGGAAGGTAGCTCTCTGATCGTCCACGACTTGGGCCACTTCCAAGCGAAATTGATGGTCTGTTTGCTGTTCACGCTGGAAGTGTGGGCACAAGATGGGAACTGGAACGATCTCCCCGGATCTGGTCATGCTCTTGGCTTTGGAGCCGGGCATCTCCGGCGGGTCGAAGGTCTCTTGGGCCATGGACATCTTGTAGAGGACTCCAAGGAGCAGGATGATCAAGATGGTGACGGTAAGGTCTACAAAAACGCTCTGGGCATTGAGGCCGGTAAGGCTGCTGCTTGCAACGGCCGCTGCTTCGAGGGAACGCCCGGCCTCGCTCTGGGCCAAGGCCACATGAGATTGCTTCTCTGTGACATTGGAGGCCAGGACACTCCGGTTGGACACAACCTCATCCACTTGCGACACGTTCTGGTGCACTTGCAGAAGCCACAGGTCTGTCTGCTCGATGTCATCTGCATCGCTGCCCCTGCTGCATGCGGATTCTCCTGCACATTCCTCGGCAAGGCCCGTGCAGACTGCAGCCGCCAACCAAATCGCCAACATCTGCAAATGCACGGTAGAAACCATTATCAGATTACTTGAGCATAACTCCCTGCGGTGGACTGTGGATATAGCGACGGACCGGGCCAAATCTCTAGCAAACAACGGAGACATACTGCAGTTGTGAGCTGCCGAAAAGCATGTGCACCTGTCCAGCAGTGCCGATTGTCGGGTATGGAAAAGTGCTCTGGCACAGCTTGTGATCGCTAATGCTGTCGAACACGAAACACAGAGTTAGAACCGCAGAGTGAGAGTCTCACCAATGCTGACGACACTGGCTTGGCAACTTCAAGTTCGTAGCTCCATGCTTGACCCGGTCCTTGGCTTGTTCCTGGCGGAGGTGCAGCACATGTGCATTCTGGATACATGCCGGTGTGTCACTATAGACCGTGCCTCCTGATGAACGTTAGAGGCCAAAGCAAAGCACTTCAGCGCCAAAATTGAACAGACACGCTACTCACTAATTCTGAGTGAAGCAGCCCTCCATGCGTCCTAAACTGCATCACGAACCCCACGCGCATCCAGCATCTACATACAACAAACAGCACTCCAATACCAATAACATTAATATGCAGCCACAGCAGCAAAAAACAGTGGGAGCGCCAAGGGAATCAAGATCTATCAAACCCCAAAACACAAGTGATCATATTGAGTCTGGAGCAAACCGATTGCAGTGAGAATGAATACTTCAGGCTGTGAGCAATTACGGCCAAACATGATCACAAGTAGCAGCGATAAATGGCAACAAGCATGACGCCAAATCATACTTGATGATAGCTTGTCATCATCAAGACAATACGGTCTCTGGGACTCTGGGTTTGGGTGCACAGGCTGATGTCGCAGGCACGGCATAATTAAAGACCAAAAAACAAGAAACAGTAGGAACACACCAATAACTAGCATTCCGAGCACCTAGGAAAACCAGGTCGCTCGTCCACTACGCTTAGCTCGCATCTTTCAGGGGCGCACCACGGTGTACTTGTCAGTATTTCGAGGTGTCAAGGTGCGTCAATCCGTACATGAGCCGACGAAGCATTGAAACGTGGTTGTCTTTCTCATGATCTTCTCACAGTTTTTCCCCGATCTCCCTGAAGAGCACCGTTGAAAGGCTTTTCATGCTTTGTTCACACCCCCCCCCCCCCTACAAGAAGCCCCGAAAGAGAGTAGTTCGTGGCCTCGAGAAACTTCCAAGATAAATGGGAACACTCGAAACGTCACTTGAATATCAGGGAGCGCGATCCGATCGTCATCTACGGTCGCAGCACTGGGACTACAAACGCTGCGGTCGAGGAAGCACATACTGACAAGAGTAATTGGCAATATCTGGGGAGTCGGAGCCATTGTCAGGATACATCTAGTATACAAACCTAAATTACCAATTCTATTGTGGGGGGGGGGGGTCCCTATTATATCTATAGTACAATACATCCCAAAAGCCTATCCTAATTATTGACGGCCCCTTTTTGTTTAAGCCCATATAACTACTGTTCGCAACCGTACAGTACTTCGAGGGTCGGGGGACTTCGTAAGTAGTTATTTTATAGACTCCTTAGTATCATAACCCCAATTCGGGCCCCTTTTAGGGTACTTTAATATAAGTCTACTTATTAATATAAAGTCTACTTCTTACCCACTTACTAAAAGCTCCCCCGACCCTCCCAGTAAAAGCCCCTTGGCCTCGGCGGCCTTCATTCGCAGCTGTACGCGGCTCAACCTCGCCGGAAGGGGCGATGAAAGTGGGTGTTTCAATAATTAGACCGGTGTACTACACCCTAAACCCTAAACT